ACGTGGGAGGCAGGGAAAGTGTAAAATTTGAACTTTCAGTTAACTGTTGGCCAGTGAAAAGGGTGCCTGTCTGCTTCCTCACTCCTCCCAGCGTTTAGAGAGTGGATTGGGAGACAGTCTTCAGACTAGAGTGGATTGGGAGACAGTCTTCGGACTGCCTGGTACTGTACTGCCTGGACTGTATTTTCCCTGCCTTTCCTGAACCTTTCTTGACCTAAGAAAAAAAGAAACAAAATATCCCCCTCTAGTGGTCGAAGGTGGAATAGCAGCGTCCCATTAGTTTCTATGGACGGAAAAGAGCAGATACGGATCAAATGGTTTTCAATGCATTCCTATGGGAAATGCAGACTTGACCTGAGAACCTTTTGACTTAAGAACCGCCTTCCAATACGGATTAAGTTCTCAAGTCAAGACCCCACTGTAATCTAAAACCTCTTCTTAGATGCACAACTTAACATGGAGAATAGTCCCCCTGTTGTCATGTGGTCTCCTATTCCCTTGGCCTAGAAGTAGAGGGATATGAAAACACTAGCTCCCTGATAGAAGCAGGCATGGAAATAATGAATTTAGAATCATCTCCCTGCCCTGGCTCCACAGAAGGCCAAAAGAAAGAACAATGGATGCAGACGTAGGAGCCTGAAGGAGGGGAAGAACTAAAAAGGGAAGAAGGAGAAGAAGCAGGGGGAAGTATCATGGAAACTAAGGAGGTAGGGGAAAGCCACCTTATGGAGAAAGGTGAGAGAAAGGATGAACTGGAAAAAGGAGAAAGATGGGAGGGAACAGAACAAGAGGCCCCTCCACTGGATTTAACTGAAACACCAGAGTGGGTCACTAAGGAAGACCCTTTGATGGGAGAATTAGTACAGTTACTAAACTCAACTGACTGTGAACTAGAACAGTGTACAGTGGTGCCCTGCTTAATGATTACCCCGCTCCATGACAAATCCGCTTAACGATGAGGTTTTTGCGATCACAAAACTATGTTTAAATGGGGAAAATCCACTTAATGACGATCGGTTCCCTACTTCGGGAACCGATTTTTCACTAAACGATGATCTAAAAACAGCTGATTGGCGGCTCTCAAAATGGCTCCCCACTGTGCAAAATGGCTCCCCGCTGTGTTAAGGATGGATTCCTTGCTATACAGGCACCAGAAAATGGCCGCCCTATGGAGGATCCTCGGTGGACAGTGAGGTACTTCACCCATTGGAATGCATTCAACAGTTTTCAATGCATTTCAATGGGATTTTTACTTTCGCTTGACGACGATTTCATTCTACAGCGATTTTGCTGGAACGGATTATCATCATCAAGCGAGGCACCACTGTATTGAAACCAGATATATTATTTGGGAAAAATGCAAAAAAGACAATTCCTGTACAGTGGACCCTCTACTTACAGAATTAATCCGTATTGGAACGGTGGCTGCAAGTCGAAAAGTCTGTAGGTCGAATCTCCATTGACCTACAATGCATTGAAAACCGATTAATCCCATAACTGGCAGTTTTTATTTATTTTTGTTACATTTTGGTTTTTTTCTGGTCTGTTAGTTGATTCTCCGGCTGCAAGTCGAATCTAAATTTTGCGGCCAGAGAAGTCTGTAACTCGAAAAGTCTGTAAGTTGAGCCGTCTGTAAGTCGAGGGTCCACTGTATAGAAAAGAAAAACCTAGATGGATGAGGGAAGAAACACTTAAAATTGTCAATAAGCAAAATTAAACAGTGACAGAAGTAGGATCACAATCCTGAATGCAGCATTTCACCAACTGTCGTATAGAGACAAGGAGAACTATTATAACGCCAATGCAAAGAAGTGGAAGAGAACAACAAAAGAGGAAAATCAAGATACCTCTTCCAGAAGATCCAAGAAATCAAAGGGAGATGTAAACCTAGATTAGGAATGCTGAAGGACCAACTAGGAAGCATACTATTTGACCAGGAAGAAATAAAAAGAAGGTGGGAAAAGTTTACTGAAGGCATATACTGTACAGAAGAGATGAAAGGATGAGAGATCCCTTTGAAGAAGAATCCTGTGATGAAAAACCTACAGTTTAAGAAAGTGAAGTGAAAGCTGCTCTGTAAGCATTGGGAAGAAATAAATCACCAGGGGTAGATGCGATATTGGTAGAACTGTTTCAACCAAAGAGACTGACTCTGTCATAATCCTAACTAGAATATGCAAACAAAATGGAAAATAAAACAATGGCCCACTGATTGGAAATGTTCAATATACATTCCAATCCCCAAGAAAGAAAATGCAAAGGAGTGCAGTAACTACAGGACCATTGCTCTAATTTCTCATGCAAGCAAAATGATGTTCAGGGTGGTTAAACTCTTCAGGAGAGCTGGAGGTTGGGAGCTCAATTCCTCACTGTGCCTCCTTGAGGGGCTGGACTCAATGATCCATAGGGTCCCTTCCGTCTCCAAAGTTTTAATATCTAGGACCTTTCCTTCTCCCTTTCACATTTTATGTGGCGACTACACAGAGAATACATCTGCCTTCCTCTAGAGGGCAAACATAGTCCTCTTAAAACTGAAACTGTTTAGGTTGCATGCTTCTTTTATGCTTGATTTTTAAATTGGAAAGCAAATGCTGGTAGCTTTGTTTATTTTCAAGCTAGCATCATCGTGGAGTGACAAATGGTCATGCAGCATCACTTCAGTGGAGGCATCCAATTTGTCAATGATGTCTTGGCTCAGGACAGAGCAGCTGCTAGATGTGAGCTAAAAATGGACAAGAGTCAGTGGACATGCAACAGGCCAACAACGACTGTGGTTCAATCCTGTTCTTGAGCAGGCATGGGGACATTTTCTTTCAGTTTGTTTTTGGCCAAAATACATTCAGTTTGTACCTCTCTGACCTGAAGTCAAACACTAGCACTACTTGCAGTTGGAAGTCTTGCACTTTTTATGAAATTGCAGTCCCATTTGTGCAGTGTCAATGTAATACATTTGAAAAACACTCATGAAAAAAAGCATACCTTAGTGAAGTGCGCAAAAAGAGACTTTCAGACCAGGGGTGAGTGACCTGTCTTTTTTCTGTTGACCAATTACATTCCCTTGGAGGCAATCTGTTGGGTGCCATATGCCCATTGTGGATAAGGCCAATGCCGGGGCAAGACTAAGTTCTAGCTAAGCCTGCCCCTTTCTCTCTGTGACCCCCTTCCTATATCCCCTTCCTCCTCTCTCAGAATTGATTAGGCTGCTGGAGAAGAAGCAGGGTGCCTTTTTAGCAGCCCCAACTGATAATTTGCAGAGAGCTTCTAGATTAGGTCACGCAGTGACAACTCGTTCATCAAATCTAACCAGATTCCACACACACACCCCAGAGACTGGCACTACAGTTTTTCAGATTTGTACAGCAGACCCCTACACTTATGGTTTCTCTAGTGACAGTCATAAAGTGAGCTGATGTTAAGCCAAACCTTACTCTCCCACTTTGGGCAATGCTGAAATAAAGGTTTGACTCCTGGACAATTCTCAAACATCAGTTTCACCCTCCTCTCTTCTCTTGAGGATGCTCTACCCACGTTCTTGCTCTTTCTGTGTCCCTCTCTCTAGCACGCCACCTTCTGCTGTCTTGTTTGCTACTTTTGACACGCATCAACTGTCCTGTCCATTTCCCCATCTGTCCTAGACTATCTACCTTGCTCCTTCTCTTCCACTCCTTTACCTCCATCCTTCCTTTTCTCTCTCTCTTGCCAAGCTTCCTGATGTCAATCTGCCAATTGTAGAGGTTGTAAAACTGAATTTTGGATTCTGCATGGAGGGGGACGAATTTGGTAATGTTGGAGTGGTTGTAAAAGTGGGCAGTAGTGAGAAAAGCTATCATGAGTGAAGAGTCTATTGTATAAAGGCTCTTTCATGCCTTTTCCGTGGAGAGGATCACACCCAGCATTTATAGTCAGGCCATTGTGTGTAGTCTGCATTGCTCCACTAGGCGCCAGTGGTGGCCACTGATGTAGTTAGTGCTGCATCATCCCATTTCCTTGACATTTCGGAGCCAAAACCTGAGATGGGGACACACCTCCAAAAAGTGGAGCAGGCATGGGTTGGAAGGAGGTAGAGTTTTATTCCAGGCTGCTAGGGCTTATGCAATGAGAAGCCTTAAGAGCTTCTTCTCTCGGCCTCTCAATAGCACTGAACTATGTACTGTACTAACTCTCAGCCAATGACTAAATTCAATTCTAAATTTGGTAACATGCCCGATTACACACCCAGTTGTGCAAATGAGATGCAGCCCAGCACCTTGTCAGTTAGACACAGCAAGCTATGTAAACCTAATCCGAACACCTGTAGGAGTCTGGCTAAAACATATCACTCAGCCAAATTAATTGGAATGGAAATTCCTTGGGGTTTATTGGCTTCCTGTACTAAAATCTGGCTGCACAGTGTTTCAGAGGTGGGAATGCGGGAGAATGCATCTTAAACTGCATTGTGGTTGGTGTTTAGGAACTGATAAGTGAAGTTTGTCCCTCATCCTGAATAAAAATATAGGGCTGGATCCACATTTGGGTGCCTAGAATTGAACTTGAGGAAGCAAGAGCACCTGTCTCTTTCACCCTAGGCATGGGGAAAGTTGTGTAGCAGTGGCTGTGCTGGTTGGGGCATTCTGGAAGCTTTAGTGTGAAAAAATAACTTTGCCATCTCTGGTTCATCCCATAAGCACATCCTCCAGTCCCCTGACAATTCTGCACACATGGTGTGGATAATTTGGTGAGATACTCTGCAGGAGTGCACCCCATCTACTCATGGAGGGCAGTTCCTGGATGTAACCCATACCTTGTTATTTTTTCCAGCTTGTGTAATGCTTCTTGCACCATGCAGTCCATTCTAACTTGTGTCCAAACTAGCAACTATGTGTGAAAAAGGGGGAAATATAGCAGAACATTCCAATTGGCTTTATAACTCTGAAACATGTCTTTTGAAATGAGGTTAGGTCTCCTGTCTTATTGCCTTTCTGTCAAGGTTTTTGTAATTCTGTTTCTTCTACTTCTTGCAGGAGCCAAGACCTTTATACAACAAAAGGTGCCAGTATTATTCAAGTGGAGTAGGATTCTTATATGATGCCTACCAGACAGAGGTAAGCAACTAAAATGTAGTTAATCTGTAGTTTTAAAAATTAACAGTTTCTTTACAATATGACTGGAGGTATAAATGTTTTCTAGTTACAGCACTCTGTTACTGGAGATTCGTTTTCCCCATTGAGCACTACAAGCTGGCTATCGTATTTGCAGCAAGAATATTTGCTTTGGAATCAAAGCTATTCCCATTCTGTCCGCTTTGCACATTGGCACCTTGGAATTAGATGTAGGTATTTTTTTTCAGATCATGTTTTTGTTGAGTGGTGCATTGTCATCTGCATCCAGGTTAAGTTAATAAGATTATTTGGGGGCCCAAACTACAACTCTCTTATGTTATAAAGTGACATAATCAAAGACTGTCTGCCATTTGCACTGCAATTTTTGTCGCCATTCTGAATCCTGAATCCTAAAGCAGGAACAATCATATGCAGCTGGATTTCTGACTGAAACATTAACCTGAAGAAATATTTTTGTTCCCATTATTGCAGGACATTCATGCAGACTGTAATTCTCAGCAGAAGAGTTCTCTATACAAATAAAACACAAAACAGAACAAAATGTCACTATGTAATCTTAAAATTCCAATCTACAGTGGGGTCTTGACTTAAGAACGGCTTGAGTTAAGAACATTTTGACTTAAGAACCGCTCTCATAGGAAAATATTGACTTGACTTAAGTACTTAGATTTGAGTTAAGAACTGAAAAAAACCCACGTGGGAGGCAGGGAAAAGAGCAGATACGGATCAAATGGTTTTCAGTGCATTCCTATGGGAAATGCAGATTTGACTTGAGAACTTTTTGACTTGAGAACCGCCTTCCAATACGGATTAAGTTTTAAAATTCCAAGCATAATCTAATGTCCACATTAAGAAATATTTTTTTCACATCACCCACACATGCATATTAAGTATGCATGCTAGTGACAGCAAACAGCATAAAACCTGAGCAGGATGCTGAAACCATACTCTCTGACTTCTGAAGTTTTTCACTGTCAGGCTGTCTTTAGGCTCTTAAGATATGTGCAGGGCCAGTTTCCACTGCTTGCAATGGAGTGATCATGAATTCCCTGAGAACATACCTCAGACAATAGATTCAATTAATAATTTTTCTTGATAGGCTTGTTTATAGTACCCTGGCATAATATCTAAGTAGAAAATGGGTATATTGTACATCATGAGTAAATATCCCCCTCTAGTGGTCGAAGGCAGAATAGCAGCTTCCCATTAGTTTCTATGGACGGAAAAGAGCAGATACGGATCAAATGGTTTTCAGTGCATTCCTATGGGAAATGCAGATTTGACTTGAGAACTTTTTGACTTGAGAACCGCCTTCCAATACGGATTAAGTTCTCAAGGCAAGACCCCACTGTAATGTCCACATTAAGAAATATTTTTTCACATCACCCACACTTATGCATATTAAGTATGCATGCTAGTGACAGCAAACAACATAAAACCTGAGCAGGATGCTGAAACCATACTCTCTGACTTCTGAAGTTTTTCACCGTCAGGCTGTCTTTAGACTCTTAAGATATGTGCAGGGCCAGTTTCCACTGCATGCAATGGAGTGATCATGAATTCCGTGAAAACATACTTCAGACAATAGATTCAATTAATAATTTTTCTTGATAGGCTTGTTTATAGTACCCTGGCATAATATCCAAGTAGAAAATGGGTATATTGTACATCATGAGTAAATTATATATCTGTATATTTTTAGCTGCTTAAAATATTTAAAATATATAGGGGTAGGGCTCCAATCCTTTTTCAAATGATGCAACATTTAAAAATGTAAGTGGTTATTCTTTAAAGAATAAGTGGTTTTGTGTATATTTCAAACAGGACTTAATGGTTTGTGTGCTTAGTATTCCAGTGGGATAACTACATAGAAAATAATCTTGTATGAAGCAGTTCTAAGGCAGTTTAAGGGTGCGTCTGTAGCTTAGTGATAAGAGTATATGCTCTGCATATGGAAAGATACTCAGTTCACTGGCCATCGTTTTCAGATACATAGCAATGTAACAGTTCTTGTACTGAGTCAGATTTTCGGTCCATCAAGACCACTGTTGTCAACACTAAGTGGGCTTGATGAACTAATGTTCTGCTTTGGTGTAAGACGGGTTTCAAAGAATTACATACAAAATATGCTAAGGGGGAAACTACCTTGGATATAAAGTGGACTTTCAAAACACTTTATGATGCAACTAGGGGATCAAAACAAACAGATACACATGATATTCAAAGAGAAATTAGCACACTTCTGTATAGTTCTATATTCGCATTTTAAAATCTCACAGCTTTCATACTGCGAAAGTCAAATCAAACTGTGTGATTGGCAGTATGTTACATACATTTTAGTAAAAACAAAAGAAAAATTTGAAAAACAGACAAAAATGTTGTGGTGCCTTAAAGACTAACTGCTATATTTTAACACAGCTACCTTCTCTAAAAATACATTTTAATAAGAATAGTATGTGAAAAAAGAACAACCCTGTTTTAGTAAATGATTTGCTGCCTACAGGAATGAGTATTTGTAAACTGCTTCACTTTCATAATTTCAAAGTGGTGTACAAGAACATAACACATATCATGCACACACACACACACACACCACATATACGTAATAAATACATGCAATATTTATGTGATCTGTAACAGAGAAGGTACATTGAGCTATGCATAGAAGACTGGCATATATAGGTATGTTTTCAACATGTGCCTAAAATTAAAGTGTTTGGAGCATAGTGAAACACTGGAGGGAAAGCACACCATGTAGTGGGAGCCACAAGGCTAAATACTCTGCTCTGAATCACTACAGAGCGAACCTGAGAAACATGTGGAACCACCAGGAGGGCCCTTCCAGATGACCTTAAGGATCAAATACTAGTCCTATAGAGGAGAAGTCAGTCCCTCAGGTAATCTGTTCCCAAGTTTTTGAGAGCTTTATAAACTAGTAACAAAACTTTCAGTTTGACCCAGTGGCAAATAGATAGTCACTTGAATTCCTTCAGCAGAGGTGTACTGTGTTTTGAGTAGGTTGGCCCCCTCAGAAGCCTAGCTAAAGTATTCTAACCAGCTGCAGCTTTCAGGCTAGCCTTAAGGCATATAGACGTCCAGCCTTGACATCATCTGTGCCTAGACTAATGTAGCTAAGCTTCCCTTACCCAAGAATGGCTGTTTCTGGAATACCAGATGAAGCTGATACACTTCAATGAAGTCATTTGGTCCTCCACTGACAACTATGATCTCTCCAGTCTGCATCCATCCTTGATCCTCTGGAGAAAGGAACATATTCAGAATAGGTAGCCTACCTATCTTCTGGATGTGGAAATCACCTCCACGCCCCATACATCTCATCTTATTGGCCGTCATCTAGTCCAGTGGTCCCGAACCTTGGGCCTCCAGATGTTCGTGGACTTCAACTCCCAGAAATCCTGGCTAGCAGAGGCGGTGGTGAAGGCTTCTGGGAGTTGTAGTCCAAGAACATCTGGAGGCCCAAGGTTGGGGACCACTGATCTAGTTCACCACTGCATCCAGGCCCTGGTCCAGAACTGCCCAGGCTGCACATGACCCAGAAATGACAGAGAAACAGAGTTGGGTAACTGCATCCAGGCCCTGGTCCAGAATTGTCCAGAAATGACAGAGAAACAGAGTTGGGTATCATCAGCAAATAGATTACAGTTTGCTCCAAATCTCCTTATAACTGGTTCCCAACAGCTTGATGCACGTATTAAACAATACTGGAAATAACATTGAACATGGAGGTACTGTATGCTATAATGCAGCTGCCATTGGGGTGAGAACCATTCTCTCAGTGCCACTTTCTGGAACCTTCCCTCTAAGCAGCAGCAAGTATAATGCCCCCTACCTCTCAACCCACTGAGCCAGTCCAAAAGGATACTATGGCCAATGGTATGAAAAGCAACGGAGAGATCAAGAACAACAGGTTTGCTCTCCCCCATTTTGATAAAGGGTAACCAAGGTCATTTGGTCGAGAATCCAGGCCTGAACTGACACTGAAATGGGTTTGGGCCAGTGATTCCCAACCTTGGGTCCCCAGATGTTCTTGGACTATAACTCCCAGAAATCCTGGCCAGCACAATGAGCGATGAAGATTTTGGGAGATTTTAGTCCAAGAACATCTGGGGACTCAAGGTTGGGAGTCACTGGTCTAAGTAACATGTATCATCCCAAAGTGCCTAGATTTGCACTGCCACACTCTCCCACAGTGGTTGTCAAGAACAGTGGAATTAATATCACAATCTCTTTAAGGGTAGCAGGCAACACTCTTCATGTAAAGAAGTACTGTCTGACCTAGACAAACCCCTTTGACCTTTACTATGTCACACACAATTTCCAGGAAGCTACAATACAAGTATTTGCCCATCTGGTAACTGAAAGTAGATTTAGTTTACAACTACACAGTCATATACTGTGGGATTTGCTCTGGTTATAAAATAGAAGAACTGGATTAAAAAAAAAACTGATCACACAGTGCAAATGCCAGTTTGAATCAGTCCAGCCCTGAATTTTTCTCTGCCGTTGTTTCAGGCCAAAATAATTCAAACAGATTTCCCCCATGTAATCAGTTATTTCCTTCTGCAAAAAGATAGAGGGCATGTTTGTGGGTGATGATGTGGTTATGTAGGCAGTTGGAGTATGATGTTTCGGGACTGTAGGAACACCTGCCCTTGTGACCTTTCCCCTGAGTGTCCCTGATTTATATATATATATGTGTGTGTATACTATATTTCATAGTATAGGTCTAGTGCTGAGTCATTGGATTGGTATGCTGGTTTAGCACTAGATCACCTTCACACTATGAAATAGAAACAACTCGGATGAAATATAGAAGACTACATATGGTTCTGTGATATATGCGTTTCTGTGTACAATGTGAAGAACTTTGGAAAGCTGCTTAACAATGAACCATAAAAGGATCGAAAGAGGTGGCAACAGTGGAAGGAAGGAAGGAAGGAAGGAAGGAAGGAAGGAAGGAAGGAAGGAAGGAAGGAAGG